CAAACGTGATTTTGGTTAGGAGGTCTAAGAGACTCATGTATGTTTTCTCACCAGTTTTTCTAACTGTGGATTTTGATCAGGGTCAGACAAAAGCAGATATTGGCAAGTCTGGTCACTTGAAGCTTCAAAGATGAAAGGAACACAGCTACTGAGAGAGGTAGGGCTGCCTGTATAGAGAATAAAGACTTTTGTAAAGCATCTAAGGCAGTTAGACCACAGTCATCTGAGACCAGTACACGTGTGAATGGGTATTTGACTTAAAAAGGAACTAATGAGAAAATTCAAAGCTAGTTTAAAGCTGGGCAATATTGCAGAACTTGCAGTACTACAAAGGGTGCATCTTAGAAAGACACAATATATGGAAAATCCTCCACTCCAGGCAGTTCGTGCATTTAGTGCAATGGACTATACACGTGCACAAAAAATAAACATCAAGCTAAGGTGAGTGGACAAGACAGACAAAGTGTAAGTAGAAAAGACAATGCTGACATAGTAAATTCATTGCTCAAGGGCAAGTAAAATGTAAATAAGTTTAAAGAAATCAAAGACTCATGGCACATACTCACTAGTGCATTTAAGAGATACATTCATCCTACTCATGTTCAATATCAGGGCTGAAACAATCGTGATGCTGGGAGGCATGTTAAAGCATCTTTCAAATCTGATACAAATGCAGTGCATATATATTGCAATAGTAGCTTGTGGAGAGCTCAGAACTGAACCTGAAAGAGTAAGAATCCTGGTTGGGGTCAGATCCCATATAAAATCATCTCTCTTGGGCAGAGACTGCACAAAGACTTCATTTTAAACAACAAGATGATGACAGTATAGGTTAAAACCCCTTGAAATTTATATTGGGGACAATTAATAGGCCAATATTAAAAAAGTTTTCATTATTTAAAAAGACTTCAAACAAAACAATTTATGAAGTAATTATGTATATACAAGCCCACAGAAAAGGAAAAATTTAGCGAGAGTTTGTTCTCTGACTTTCGTGGAATTCTTTGCCACATTCTCCGATTTCAACATCAAAAATTACTGGCTGGCTCACAAAACTGAATGATGTATTCATGACGCCGGACAAAAACAATGTGTTGATAGCGAAACTAAGTTTTTCACGAGGCGCTCTAGACTCACTGGCAAAGATGCATTTCCGAGCAGGTTGTCTACAGTTCAACATCCCAGGTTGTAATTCCAGCCAATTGCCACTTTTGGGCTTTAAGTCAGAAAGTAAACCTGTCATATCCAGGGCTGAGTTATTTGCTGTCAACTGGATTATCGTAGTACAAAACGGCTGTAATTGAAGGCTGCAAGAGGTTATAGATTGAACATAGTCAAAAGCAGTAATTCCACTTAGTAAAAGTAGATATCATCCAAAATGAGAAAAGTTAAGCTTATATAAGGTGAAATTCTGACTCCATTCTGGCTCACAGTCGCTGGGAGTTTTGTCAGTGACTACAACAGTAATCAAAATTTCACTCACTGTCACTGCAAAGGGTGCGATGAAGTGAAAGTTAAAATAACTGTTAACCTGGGGCTTCCAAAATACATTTTCTGAGCACGGACTGCTGTCTAACCCAGTGTTTTCTTGACGTAGCAATGCAGACAGCCCTTCCGGGGACCGAGGGGATAAAATCGTGCTCATGGAGTACATCTAGGGTGTGCAGTAAGAAGAATTACCCTGCTGCAACTGCTGAAGTTGCCATTGTTCGTCACCCTGCAGGCCATGGTGGAACTGGACTACTTAAGCATAGGGGGGGTATAGTTTGTGAGAAGCGATTTCAAAAAGCTGTAACGACACCGAGTATCAGTGCCAGTGCTGACATCCTTCCACCTGAGCCGCTCTTTTGAACGACGGGTAGAGATTACTGGAAGAAAGAGCATAGCAGTGGTTGGCAGATGCACTAAGTTTACTGGGGAAAGGAGGATTATATCATAATACTGAGTCTCATCATCTTTCTGTTTTCCTTACCAGTCAATCTGAACCAAAGAATGCAATTTATGTGCATCTGTGAGCAAGGCTCCATAGGGTCTCCTGGGCGCTTTCTGGATACCCTCTGCTTTGGGTGTGTTGTAGAAGGGCGGCTTCTTTCACCGAGTTAAAAACCAGCAGGGTTACCAGCAGAACTGGTGGCTCTGCTTATTTGCCACGTACTTTTTGTTTGTCCATCACTAAGCACGTCAAAGCCTCGGTGTCCCCATCAGACAACCATGCTGTTAATAACATTAATCCACCTTTATTAAGAGCCTTTAGCTTTATGGAGGAGTACCAAATATTATTAAGACAAAGACAAGAGGATAATAAGGAAATGTGTTTTTTCCCTTGCTGACCTAGTTTCTAACCTGACTTTAAAATCTTCCATTGATTTTAATTATGCTTAATCTAAAGCTAAGCTCACAAATCTAACAAACTTAAGGACTGCTTTTAAGTGAATTTTCTCGCCTGTCAGAGTTCCTCAAGCTTTCTATGCCACAGTTAGAAGTTTATTTCCAGCCCAGATACAAAGTTGAGACAGCTCTCTGCCCGTAGGAAGCATCCAGCACCGCTACTGTACGACGCACGAGCTCAAACACTACCTTGCTCGAATGGAGCCTGTGTACAGCATTCTTCATAGAACAATTGCAGTCCTTTTCTCATCAGCGATAGCCAGAGGCGGTAATAAGGGTGAAGGATATCTATCATGAAAAGTCCAGTGTCAATGTGTTCCCCCAATTTATTTACTGACCTTCAATGCAACAGCCGTACTCCTGACCCTCATGAGATGAAGCCTAAGGGGAAATGGCACTGAGCACCAATTCCATATCCTGTTGTTCTGTGGTCTAAATTAAGTGCTAATTAATTACCACTGGCATCTTTGGCATTGCCTGTCAAATTGGATTTAGGATATCCTTTCGCTGTTTAAACAAATAGCCCTACATCTAGAGCTAAAATCCCAAGTGTTAGCATTTTCTTTACTTTTAAATTTTTACTTAAAAATTCAGCAAGTATGTCCACGGATTTTGCAGGTAGAATCCAAATAAAAGAAACAGGAATTGATATTGTCAATTTTGATTAATAGTCCCTCATTAATAAACATCCTGTTATTCAGTTTCCACCTGCAGTTGCTGATGTTGCCTGGAATCAATTAACTCATATAATTTGATTTATTTTACAAAGACATTTTTGGATGTGCTGTGCTGATGATAAAGGTTCTATATTTACAACTCTTGATTTAAGGGAGATTGTTACTAACTGCTTTTTATTTTTAATGTTACAAGGAAACGTAGCTTCAGGCATTCTTGAACGAAAACATTTAAGCAATTTAAAAAGTTAAAGCTTTATTCATGTAAAACTATCTGTTGCCTTCTGAGCCACACAGGCCACAAAAGCATACAGATCCAGGACTTTTGAAAGGTTGGTCTTTACAATAAGGTAGTTGTTCTGCAGAAAAAAAAAAAAATCAGAACTAGAATTTAAAGAAAAACAGAAAAACCATCACAGCAAAAGTTACACCAGCAGCCAAAAATACAGTTAAGGATTCTATGTGTTATATCTCTGTCTGTACTCATGTTATTCTATGTAGTCTCACACTGCCTTTATCACTCTACTATCCAAACACCTCTAAGAAGTGCATTAGCATCTGCCTAACATCTGTCACGGGTGGTTTTATTCTCTCCCATCCTCTCCCCAAGGAGAGGCCCGTGCTTGCCGTGGTAGTGTGGCTTTTGAAGAGGGGTTCGCTGTTGTTTCAGATATATACACTGCTACAGGGCTGCTGGAGAAGGCAAAGATGAATGCCTTGTGCGCAGAGCTGCAGCCAGAGGAGTATGAGATGCTCCTTAAGGAAGTTTGTGGCCTTCTGCCGACTCCTACCAAGCGTTTGTCCCCCAACAGGCAAACTTCAGGCTCAATAGCAACTCGCACTGTGATAACATGGACTGGCCAGACCTCCTCATCCTTCCAGTCTTATGAGCATTAGTCAGAACCTGTTTGGATTCACACAAAAAAATTAAAACCCAAGCCAGACTGGCATGACAGAGTGCTGGTGGTCGGTAAATGGAAGAACATAGCAGGACACCCAGTTGGGGCAGTTTTCCAAAAGGGAGGCCTGGAACTTCTGCAGTAATACAGAAGATTTGGTGGAAAGGTTTTGAATCCATTTCTTTGGCAGAACATGGTTTGGGGGAGCGGGACCTGAGCCTTTGCCCACACCAGGCTCTTCAGTGGGGCCACTGCAGCATGGAGATGAGCTCCTGCGCTCGCTGTCCGTGCCATGCTGGGACACCCTCTGCTTTTGGAGACGCTCTAAGACAGGAGGTGGCCAGCAAAAAGGAATGATCTCAAGGCTAAGATGCAGGTACCACATTACCCTGCTCTCTTCATATAGCCACGGCTGAGGACAGCAGCAGGAGCACATCTCCTGTTGTGCAGAAGAACAAGCAGGACTTCTCCAAAGCACATTCCTGAATGAAGCCCCTGTAGAGGCTTGAGTCCCTAGAGATACCTAAATGTGCTTTTACATCTTGGCCTCAGTCACCTGGAAAATGAAGGCTTTCTTTACAAAACGGGCGCTATGCGAGGTGTGCACAAAGGCAAGAGCACACGCGTTCTTCAGAAAGGACACCATACGGGTAGCAAAGTTCACCCAATGGTGAGGAGATTTTATTTTGAACTGATTAAACCAGGCTAGGCCAGAATAAATGCCTTACTTCAGCTTTTCAGAGTCTGTTCAGCCAACCGTGAACTGATGTTCGGAGTTAGTTCAGTTACTATTTTCATGTAGGGCTAGACTCCAAGGCAGTTCATCCAGGGAAGGGCTCGTGCTATGAGATATGCGGGGGATCCCCTGAGGAAGCCCATTCTCCACCAGGTCCCTGTCAGCTGTCCAGGTACTATATATAGCCATCCAACGGTCAGATTTAAAGGCTAGCCTGCAGAAGAAGACAGCATCAAGTGCTTGTTCTTGTGTCCCAGAGCAACTGAAGAGAAGGGATTTTTCCCAAAGAGCTGTAACATGAACCCACAGCTGCAGAGCACAGGAAGCCTATGGAGTTTCTGTAGGCCAGGAGCCATGGAGGCTATTTTCAGCAAAAGCAAGCCCTTAAGTATGTCTGAACTATTTCTGACCCCTCTCGTAACGTATCATACGCCATGACCTGGTTTCTCTATTACCGGTCTTGGATAGCTATTGTTTCAAATTCAACCTATGGGGCAAACAGGAATTTAAAATACCTTTGCATTTTACACAGGAAAAGAAAATAGCTTAAAACTGCGTTAGTCCACCAAGATCCCTGAATTGTGTATATTTGTTGCAGAAGAAACCACATGGCAGATTTTGAAAAGGAAAGACATCGTAGTATTTTGGAGCTCCTGTATGAGGCTAAACCTCAGGTCATAGCTACAAACGCACAGAGCTCCCCCCTCCCAACACAGTATACAGATTTCACAAACAACAAGCTGAAGATTCAATTGATAATGTTTGCACTTGCTTAGCTTCATCAGCTGGTGAATACCACTGTAATGCAACTGAGCAAATTACCCATAAAGCCAGTACATAAATAATAATGGGGTTTAGTTTGCATTCATAAAATATCAAGGATCCCAATTTATTACTAAATTTTAAGTTTATCTATGTTGCAGTGCAATGAATTGAACAGTTTACACAAACAGAGCTTATGCTATGAGGGGCTCACTTACCACGGATTATTTCTATAAGTCTCTCAAGATGGGGTTCAGCACTCTTCCTCCACAGCGGGAGTGTTTTGTTGTCTGCCCTAAGCTGGTATATCCAGCTGGATATGGATATCTCTGCAAGGCTTTGGCCTGTTATAGGACACCTATTGTTGTTTGTGTACTAAGAAGACCCTCAAAGCTGTACTTCAGTTGTCTTTTTAGTACCAAAAAACACCCAAGTTCTTCCTGAAGAACAACTACTCAGGCTGAACTGAACTAAGTTTACCACAGAAAATGATGTTGCAGTAATATGCTGTGTCTCAGGGAGGTATGTAACAGGTCATAAATGGAAAGGAAATAGATTGAGAAGAAATCCGATAGTTTATCTGTGCATCGTTTTGTACTTGTTCTTCCTTCCTAACACGGAAAAAACCCATCTGCAAAAGCGCTGCCAAAATGTGCTTACACACACACAGACATTACCACTTCGTAGGACGGTACGTTTTATTATCAGGTTATTTTCCAGTACATTTGGCACAGTTAAGGTAAGTATATTAACTTTACTTCCAAATAAAGAAAGCAAAGTTGTACTGAATGTCTCAGCTGTTGCCAATGAGTTAAGAACTGACAGGAGGTCCAAGTAATCAACCCTGTCTACTGCACTGAGCTTTCCCCTGGGACACCTCTTCTGATCATACAATGTATCTGACTGGCATGGATGTAGAATTGCTTTCAATAAAGATTTTATTTCAAGGTTGGATGATTCCTTCCCAAATGTCTTGTCACTAACGCAAAGTATGTAATACCTGCTATTTTTTAGCTCCTGGAACCAGCATTTGGGAAGGAGAGGCGCATAAAATGTTGAGCTAGAGACTGTTCATCATGAGTCAAATTTTAACATGTTCAAACTGACTGGGAGCTCTGCAATAGCCAAAGTCGGAAAACTGCTGCCTAAAAACCGGCCCACAACAGTGCAGTGAAAAGCCCTGTTAATAGTGTTATAGCTGAGGTGAGTTGAAGGCAGCTGAGCCATTCCCAGGGCTGAATCCTTCAGCTAAAATGTTATGTTTGTATATGCCCCAGTATATATAGGAAACAGATGTCAGGTAATTCAAGGACAGTTAGTGGTAAAGTGAATCAATGGGATGCGCAAACTTTGACTCATTAAAGGCAGCACGTAGGAACTTACACGTCAAATCAGTCCTATTGTCCATTAGGATGAGCAGCTCTGGCCATGACCATGGTCACTAGCACAGCTCAGCAAACGTACAAAGCCTGTCTAAGTGGGCTGCCATGGTGTCTATGTTCAGCCTGTACCAGGGCTAAACTGTGAGTCGCTCCATCACCTGATAAACCCTCACCAACCAGGGAGGGGAATCGGGGAAAAACAAGAGAAGACCCATAGGTGAAATTACAGCAGGCTTAATGGAAACACCACCAGTACAAACAGAAAATACTTAGCCAAATGTATACGCTGTCAGCAGGAGGTTCTGCACAGTAGTCCTCAGCAAAAGCAGGGGGAGGAGCAAGAAGAATCCCAGCAAGCATAACCTCGCAGGAGCTCCCTCTCCTCAGTAAACCTCCTTCCTTTATAATGACCATGACATGATGGGATGGGCTGCACCTGTAGCTCACTCAGGTCAGCTGCCCTGGCTGGCTTGAGCCTGCCTAGCATGGCTGGCCTATGATTCCATCCCAGCCAAACCAGGACACATGGAATAATCCACTTAGAAAGAAGTCAGTTCCTAATTTTGTAAGGTTAGTTGTTGCACCAAGAGGACAGATGTCACAAAGACATCGTATTTTCTCCTTCCTGGGGAGTTTTCTTTATTCCCATGCATCTTTAATCTTTCTTGGCCTCTGTTTAGATCTTGGCTTCTGTCTCTCATGGCAGTGACTTCCCTAGCTAAATAAAATAACCTGCATAATGCTGGTAGGCAGGATTCTGATAAGATCAAAACCTACTTTCATCCCTTGGTCCTCTACTGAATTCAGAGGGTGACATTTCCTACACCTGCCATTCTGGGACATAATATTTTACCAGGTGACCCGTTCTTACTTTTCTGATCCCCTCATTTTGCGATGTGTTGCTCTTTAGCCATAGTCTGTATTACCAGCTCATGGAAAAGCAGCAGGATTGTCTTATTGAAAAGTCACCCTTAGATATAATTTAAAACAGTAGAAGAGTACGAGGCATGCCTAAACCAGTTCTACTAAGCGTAGAAATGCCCCTGACATTGAACAAACTTAAATCCTCATAGGCTGGAAAGGCTAAGGAAGCAGGACTGTGCAGCTCTCAATACAGCTAGCAGAGGACAGCTCTACCCTCAAACAGGCTCCAGCTCACCTCTACCCTCAAACAGTCCCCAGTAAAACAGTGCTCCTTCCAGTGGGGTTTCCCTCCCTAAGTACACGGACTCCTCTCTCTAATTTTTTTATGTGCAGTAGGAACCTAAAATGTTGAGGAATCAGTCGCTGTTGAAATGTTTTCCCCTCCTCAGCAGATACTACAGGGTAAAAATGGATACAGAACATTTCCTAACACCTAGTGTGTTTGAAGTAATAATCCAGTGTGCTATCTGAATGTCAAAATTAATAACGATTTCATTTAGAGAGTTTGAAAAGTGTAAGTTTAATGGAACTAGAGTGCCAAACTCACCATACAATGACCCTCTTAGCTGCAGAGTTGCCCTGCTCTCAGTCACACACTTTCCAGCTTATGGTTGCCTTGGCAACAGCCAAAGCATAAATTTCAAGTATTTTTGCTTATATATCTGCCATTGACACTACAGCCCTCCTATCAGACACTTCCACTGTTTTAATACATCATTAATTTCATTACATTTCTCAATAATGAGAACTGTATTTTCTGCATCTCCTGACTTGTGATCTTAGAGGACTGAAGCCATTCTTGAAACTCACTTATTTGGGGGGAAAAAAAACAAATAATCTTGCACAGCATAACTCCCAACAATTTCTTGATACGGTTCCAACATCTGTGGCACCGGATTACAGATTGTTTCTAAAATAATCTTTAATTGATGGATCATTGCTCCTTCCATTTGGGCTTGACAAAAAGTAGCTCTGGCATTTCCTTTCATTTTTTACACTGTAAATGGTGTATCACTCTTTCTTCTCTTTTTCTTGCCAAAAAAGAATACTTTCCCATTTTTAAGGATTTTCTCTTTTAACAACTCAATTTCACTTAGCAGCTACAGTAATAGCTTCAAGTGTGCATATTTGGTTTTGGTTTGCTTGGACTTTTTCTTTTGTGGATAGGTGAAAAAAATATTAGTTATGTAATTTCATTGGTGAATATTTGTAATTAATCTTAAAAGGTATAAAGTCCTAAACTTATTTTATTCAGGCTGGATTGAATTCCTTCCTTCTTTCCCTCCAGTAGCTGTATTTTACCACAGATTATTTAACACCTCGGACTTTCCATGCTTCCCAGTTTTCTTGGCTTATAGTTTTTTGTTATTTTGGTCATCAAAACAAATACAACTGCATGAACAGATAGAAAATATAAAGAATTTTCAGGAGATTTTAGCAATACAAGAATTATTGTTCTAGCATGAAGTTTAGGGGTCCCAAATATACATGGATGTTCTTAGTGCCACGTTTCATATCAGTGAACCATAACAGACAGCCAGCTCCTCTCCATCACCAGTGCACACCGTGCACATCCTCCTTTGCTTCATGCCATAACCTCACCTCCTGAGAGCTGCGTGACTGCAGGCCGTGTGCTAGCAACGCCTGGGCTCAGACAGGGCTTTGCATGCAGGATGGCTACTCCAGGTAAAACAAGGGGGATTATTCTGCTTCAGAAAGGTGGCAAAGAACAGAGGGGCTGGCCATCCATCTTCCATTTTCTATGTCTACGTCAGAAGCATGGGGTCTCAACATCTCGCTCCAAATTTTACAGATAAATACTCTTCTCCCTTCAGTAAACTGAGCTCTGCCACCACTGTTCTTCACCCTGACTCTACTTGTCTATGGTCCACCGCCTCCTTCTCACCGCAAGGTGTTTCTACTCCAGCTTCACAAATGCTGTCCTTTGTCAACACCACTTCATTGCAAAGCCATGGCTGATGCTAAAACTGATGATCTCTAAAGTTAGGCAAGACACAACTGCCGAGTATGGTTCTTTTCCCTCTGGTGAACTAGCATCTCTACCCCACACTGATGCCCTCTGCAATTACTTTGTAAGGTTTCCAACTTCTGGCATGTAATAAGCTCAAGAGAAATCAAGTTTTTCTCACAGGGAGGCCCCAAGCTTGATGCCTGTTCTTCTGCATAAGTGGCATTAAGCAAAACAACCTCGTCACCCCTGTAACAAACATTTTTAATAGTGATAAAGATGTGTGACGTCCGTCAGAAACCCACACAGTCACTTAGCAATAAAACTAACTTTTGAGAGTTTCTGAACTCCTAAGAGAAAAGAGGATATGTTAATATTAACATATCACAGATACAGAGGAAAGATAATTATTATTTTTTTAATTTATAATAAAGATGTTATATTTTAAGAAACTAATAGTCAAGCCAATCTGATTAGTGCCATATGGAGAGTGTTCTGTGCAATGGACACCACGGTTACAAGCACGAGGCAGAACTAAGTAATGCTTCCTATTTATATATGGAAAAAAACCATGAGCGTTGATGTTCAAGGAATGTGGTAAACGACAAGATTGGCAGAAATCCACAAGACCATTCTCTTTGCTGCGCGACCCACCCGCTAACATGAAGGAAACCTTTCTTTTTACATGACTGAAGCCATTACGTCTCATGAACTTTCTTTAGTGTAGCTTGCTGTAAATTCAGCGACAGGTATGGGAAAACAGAGACAGCTATGATGATTTTTAAACTGCTCTCTGGATTTTAAAAAGAGAATGAGTGACAGTGAGATATGGGGATGGGGGGGAGCTGAACTTGGGTTCAACAGTCCACTTGGATTATTTAAGTTAAAACTTAACTTAAACTAACAGGTTAAGGAAGCATCCATAAATTCAAATATTTACATATTAAAGTTACATTTGGTTCACATTCCTCGGTAGAGCTGTCCAATTTATTTATAAAATATGTGTCTTCATTTACTAGTCTTCCCAACCTAGGATATATTATGTATTCTGAAGGGTTGAGGGAAATGGATTTCTCCTTAGTTCATACTCACCGCTGGAGAGATTTATGCAAAACTGCCTACCTAAACTGCATCCATTAAACCTATATTGTTCTTAGACCAGACTTCTCCATCCTTAATGTCATTTCCACAAGAATATTAAGTCTTAATATAGACATAAGATCAACTTTTAATAATAATAGTCTTCCTCTTGTAATTTTGTGGGTAATAAAGATAGCAAAGGTTATAATCCTTACCATTATTTTCTAAGTCATCTCATTAAGGTATGTGGTTTCAGTGTCTTTCAAGAAACTTTGTGTCAGGATAAGGCATGCAAAAGTCTTTAGTTATATAAATTTCACAATCCATTTCAGACCATACTAACTTTATTGGATTTAAATTAGCAGAAGGAATGTGTTTCATATGAGCTCTGTATTAAGGGGCTTTTTTTTGTTTTCCCAACTCTTTCAGTGCTGGAGACCGTGTTAAGAGAAGCAGGGAAGCGGCTTCCTGGAACCACCAAAACTGTTGACACCAAAAGTGCTCGATTCCCTTAAAGAGCAATCCCTATTTTTTGGTATCTAAATGTAGGAGTTCAGAAAGTATTGCCTTATAGCATACACACTTACTAAGGCTCGCCCACCAGAAAGCAGCGAGTTGTGCCCTGATATGAGAGTACTGTAAAAAGGGTTCTAGACCTCCACCCCACGCACATCCTGCTGTCTGGGGCTGACTCTCCTTTCCTCATTTATCGGGTTGGCAGAAGTTGTGTCTTCCCTCCCTTTTTCCTTTCTTCTTGATAACTTAAGCAAACGAACATCCCTGTTCGGAGAATCAGTAAAAAAATGCCTCTATGTACTTCAAATGCAACAGCGACTCCTTTGACATCCCTCTTTTTTAACCAATTCTTTCTTTTCGTCAACAGGATAGCAGCCAAGGAATCCGTGAATCTTATGTCAACACAAAGCTTAGGAATTGTGTTTGGACCAACACTCCTTAGACCTGAAAAGGAGACAGGGAACATGGCAGTCCACATGCTGTACCAAAATCAGATAGTTGAACTTATGTTGAGTGAGTACAGCAAGATCTTCGGCTCTGAGGAAGACTGACAGACAGGGCCTGTTATTGAAAACGTTCACATCTGTCTTGATGTCTAATATTTTTACATTTCTGTAAACATATTTCTGAAATATTTCTTTTTCTTTCAAGTGACAGATGCCTCATTTTGTGAAAACTTAATGATGATTTTGTGTTTAATTTTCAAACATTGGAATAAAAATTCATGTCAACATTTGCCTATATGTATTCTGCATTAACCCTTTGAGAGTTTCATTATGCTAGCACTCCAAGTGTCAGGTTTTTTGCAAGCTCAGCATACAGCATATGGCCAAAGACCATAGAAAATGCTGTTTACCAACACATGCAATAACACAGAAAGAAAAATAATAATTGAGGAGATTTGTGGAAAATGGATTAAAATGTGTGTATTAAAAGCAATGAATTAAAACAGTGATACCAGATCATCTGTAGCTAATCTGAGCGTAATTTGCGTTTCTCTTAGACACATATTGAAAGTTAGGCATGATGAATAATCAATTCGCCTACCCCAAGAGTTCAAAAAAGATTACGTTTAATACTTTTAAACAACAAAAAAAAATCCTAAACAACCAACCAACCAAAAAAAAACCCAGAATGTAACTATTTGCATAACAGTGTCTAGAAAAATTAAAACTGAAATTGGAACTTCGGCATTTTTACTTAGATGCAGTACATGAAATGAAGACATTGCATGACTGCTCATTTTTATGTAACATCCATTTTGATTCTTCATCACACTGTACATCTGCCTGCTTTCCCCAGCTATCTCATGTTCTGTAGCATTTGTATTGTGCTCCTGAGGATGCTTTATTGGTGAACTACATTAAATTCATCTAGAAAGAACTTTAAAAAAAAGCCTTTTCATATGCCCTTAGGATTACTTGGCTAGACTTGAATCAATTTATGCATTTGATGGTTAGTTTCAGTTGTCATGGATAAACAAAAGGGTAACTGTCTAGAATATATCAAATATTGTTTCATTTTGAAATGTATGTTTCCAGCTATACACATCTCCTACCCTGTTTTGTAAAAGTATTCTGCTGATAAAATGTAGACTTATGTTTGACAGCTTTTTAATCAAGTTCAAAGAGAATAAATAAAACTAATCCAGTGTGGTAAAGAGTCTGTCTGGTTATCGATTTGTTCATAAAATGAAAAATAAACCATGTAAATAAGATGTGTGAAACACAGATCTAGAAGCAAATATTTAAAGCAATTAAAGACCCCAAAACATAGGATTAATGCATAGGTCTGCTGTGCATGAGAGATATGTCTTCAATATCACCTCAGCAGATCATGGATTACTTCAGTTTTTGCTTAGCATCATTTTGCAAAATACCATTATTCAGGAAAGGTTGATCCTCAGAGCAGTCATTTATGGGAATCAACACATAATGAGGCCTGATTGTTAACTAAGACCAAGCTTTTTCATCAGGTACTAACATAGGCAGAAAATAACACCAAGAAAACATAAAAATTAGCCCCAAGATGTTTTCTGACTTCATACGTGTCTGGATAATGAAGGAAAACAAAGGGGTAGTGACCAGTAATTAAAATTAAAAGCACAAAACCTGAAAAAGTTCCCCTCATATCACAAATATTCAACATAATCATTTCTGAACAAAACTATAACCTTCTGGAGAACACAAATTCACTTTACTTTCAAGAAAATATTTTTCATGTTAACGTCAAGCCATGAGTGCTTAAACAGTAATGCTTTTCAGCATCATCGTCTTTAGACTTTTAATAGCAACAAACCAGGCGCTGTTTATAGCCTGTGGAAATGACTGGAAGAAAGATAGTCAGAAGTTCAGTCTATTCCTTAATAAAGACCATTCACATTATGGCCCCACGGGTGCTCACAATCATGCCATTGAAGTAATTTCTGCTATTACTGGAAATGAAAAGTTCACTTGTTACTCGGATCCTGTTGCACTCAGAAGAAAAGATTCTTAATTAATTAATTAATCTTCTCTTAAGCTTTCTTTGGAGCATGGAGACTCCTCTTGTTTTCACAAGCAAGCCAAGGCTTATGAAATAAACCCGTATCTTTCTTAAGATCAACTGGTTTGGTTTGGGGGGGGGAAAAAATAAAATCAAGCAAACTTTTGGACACATAAGGCTTTCTTTGGTTTCGAAGGGTTCCTCACATGAAAGCTGTACTAATGTGCTGACTTCTCCACTAAATGATTTGTTAAAGATAGAAACCTGATATGTAGAGAGCCAATTCTGGGAAGACACAAGTGCATCTCATCAAAGGAGTGTATACATCGGCGGTGTGTGGCAGATATCTATTTTTCTCATCCTGACGACAGAAAGGAATAACCATGCCTTGCTACCAAGCTGCTCCCTTCCCCAAGAGACCAGTCTTCTCCCTGTCTCCTTTAATATCTACAGTGGGAAAAATTACTGACTCAACCAGAAGTCAAAGAGCCAGCCCCACAGCTCCTGCCATCACCCCCTCCGGGCAGAAAGCATCCAGACAAATCATGGTAAGAGTAAAAATAAAAAGAAAAAGTATTTGCAAGCCTTAATTGCAGCAGGGTTTCTTTTTTCTCCTGCTCAGGTAGTTTACTCTTTGTTAACCAAGCTCACAGCCCAGGGCGCCGACACACTCTCTTTTGTTGCTGGACGCCTACATTTCTAAATCTCGAAAGTGTCTAAGTTTGGCCTCTGCCCAGCACAAGCAATTCACTGGACCTATGTTACCACCACACTACTCCTCAAGTCGTTACTTATAAGAACATTCACTATGACTTGGTAGAAGTTTTGCTCAAACTTTGCTAAATTTTTAGCGAGTTAAAATTAGACTTGCAGAAGACCTTTTTTTCCGGAGCTAGCTTTGGTTTGAGAAAGACCACCGATACTTTAAGCAAGGAGCTATATCTGTTAATGGTAAATGACCAGAAAAATGAAGGCTGAGAATGTAGCAGAGACAAATACATACAAGATCCAGAGTGTTTATCTGCCCCTTCTCCCTGTACAGACTATCTTCTACTCAAACTTCTGTGAAAAGACAGTTGTCCTAGTAACTGGGATTGCTGTAGGAAAAGGAGACCTGTAATAGAACTAAACAGGGCATTTCCAGCTAGAAGGTTTCTCATTAAAATAAAATTTAAAAGTCAATTTAAATTTTGCAAGAAAAATTGTCAGTTTTTAAGTCAAGAAATTCAACTGCAAAGTGGAATTTCTGAGCAAACTGACTTGCTGAGCTACAGCCAAAAGAGGACATGTCAACTGCCCTGAACAAATTTTCATGCCTCTTTATATTTACACACACACACACACATATATATATATATATATTAAGAGCAGCATGCATTTTAATAGTTCTTCAATTCTCTGCTAGGACAGCTACAGTGCAGATAACATTCAGCCTGTTTTTGTAAGCACCCCATGCTGCAAGAGAGCCAAAGACTGCCATTCAGCCCAAGGCACTCAAGCAGTTCAGCTAATCAATTACTACATAGTATATAGACCATGGGTAAAGTTTGGAAGAAAGTTGGGACCACAATCACCGCTGTAATCAGGCGGTGTATAGATTTAACATGGCTAATTCTCAGAAGAGGCTGAAAGACAAGCCTCGGGGAATGCACATATTATCACGGCACAGCAGGTTCCCCTGCATTGCTTTCCCGCTTCAGAAAGGAGACAGGGAGCATGAGGAAGCTGAGCATAATCACAGATGTGGGTCTCAGTCACAAGTCCTGATTTTTGTAGGATGCATAAATGGGACCCAGGGCAATGCTTGTTTTGCAGAACATAGGAACCTCCCCTAGCAATTACTTTAGATTGCAAAAACCCAAGTCTTCCCTAAGCACCAAGGGCAACAGATGAGAAAAATCCCCAGCAAGTGGCCTGCTGAGGTCAGGCCATACCCAAACCCTTCATTGCTCAAGTGCTACAAACCTTATTGGTCAGTAGGCTCCACCGAGGGAACGTTTGCAGGATGCTACTAAAGCAGCAATCTCATCCTTGTGCCAGTTCATCGTGTGTTATCACAGCAAATGAATATACTCTACCATTACTCATATACTGCATGTTATTTGCTGCTTCCAAACATACCTGAAATACTGTGGGAATTGATGCTCATTTTTCCTTATAGATCCTTGAAACAAGGATCTGGTTGTACACTGGATACAAAACGTGAGCCCTCACTTCAGCTTTTCACACAAAGCAGACACTGATGTTAAAAAGACCCGCGCAGAAAACTCAAGACATGAGAATTGGGGATGCAACACCTGCACATCAGTGGTGTGAGAAACTGAGGCACAGAGCCAGCTGTGTCAAAAGAGAACATTGCATTTTATTCAGCCCCCCCCCCCTTTTTTTTTTTTTTTAAATAAGACTGTGTATACCTTGCTTTCTCTGAGTTCATCCACATAATCTGGTAATTGAGTAGCTACAGGTATTCAGCCCTGCTCATCCCTGCAACTCAAGGGCAGGGTAACCTCAGAGGAAACAAGAACAGAGAGGAATTTGCCTTCCAAACTTTTAACCGCGGTGAAGTTTGCTGGCTTTCTGAAGTTTCCTCTTAGCCCGTCAGAAATACTTCAGAAGTGCAGGAACCGTCCATCACATGGCAAAGCAGCCTGCCCGTGCACCTCCAAAAAGCTTCGCGCGGGCTGTAAAACCTGGGGCGATACCTTGCGCCTTCAGTAGAAGCTGACAGCTTTGGTTAATAAGTTTAAGAGGGACCATAAAACACTGCAAGTTCAGAATGCATGCCAATTAATTACTCACAAAACACCACCATTTTAGAGCCGTTTTAGAGCACATTTCAGTTAATAAAAGGCAGACTCATAAATTTCACGTGATGCTCCTCCGCCTGTGTCAAAATACGATTCCTATGCTCAGCTCCTATCCAGAAGTTTCTTTGCTGCATGTCTGGGAGACGAAAGGAGTGACTATCTCCCCACTGGTGGTCTGTATATAAAGCTCAGAAGCTTTCAAAGAAGCAGCTCAGAAGTTTTTTGAACGTTTTCTGGTTGTGATTTTGGGCAGGTGGAGGTGTGCCCTCTGCTCTGGAAAATGAGAGTGACTGATTCAACCAGTCCATTGCTCAGCCTC